TGAAGCAGCTCTGAAGCCCTGGTTCTAGAATGTCTTCAGTTGTGCTGTTGTGGATGCCTGGATGTTTTGAATAGAGTCACACATTTACCTGTCATGCTTATGTTGACTTTGGGGAACATCCAGATGTCAAACGATTCCATATCTGTGAGTAAAATGAATGCAAACACAGCAGAATCTTTTTATGAGCCTGCCGTTCTGGATGACAGCAGCAGCACTCACTGGATCCTGGATCACACTCTGTAAAGATACTCAAGGGACAGCACCCCCAGAACTACTTCAGAAAATGGCAGGAATGGTGGAAGAGTTGTGTTTGAAGCAATGGATTGTGATTTGAGTGGCAATGTGTCTCTTACTGTAATAATTTTTAAAGTCATATATTCAGTGTATAGTTTTATTATACTTTGTGTGTATGAGAGTTTAAAGTGCTAAACTATCTAGCAACACTTTCGATAGCCAGAATAAGGAGGCCAAGAAGTTCACCAACACTTTAACTGGAAGGTCAAGGAAATAAATGTGTTATGCTACACAAGCAGTAAGCAGAGTAAAAAGAACTCACATGGAGCAAGCACTATGATACAAAGGATGGTTTCATTTTATGTGTAGGCTCAGGTGCTCTTCCTTCTACAGCCCTGCCACATACTATATCAGGTTCAATAAGTTCTACCCCTACTCCATATACTTACATTTGCACAAACATAATCTTGAATCAATTTGATTTATATTTAACTAATTGACATGATGTTGGCATTGTAAACCCTTGTTATTTTTTATTTAGTTGGGTTTTTTTTCCTTCAATTTGACAGTCAATATTATGTAGGTCAAAACCAGAAGGTCAGTCCAGGGCAATTTCACCATGTGGCAAAATAGATGGAACTGCTCTGCACACAGAAGGGTTTGCGGGACAGAGAATTATGCAGAAGGAAAGACTTCAGCGGATGTGAAAGGGTGCTAGCATGGAATCTACCCTTGGGAAGGAAAATTTGTTTAAAGCACTGTTCTTTTTTTTTAACATGCAAATTATGTTTTATACTGCAATAGTCAATTATTCAGGATTTCTATTAATTACTCAGTGATTAGGATTAAAAAGTGTCCTTTTAAGATTTACATACATTAGTTTTGGTGAAAGTATTTTTCTTTTCTTTTTTTAAAATCTTATTGAGTTTATTGGTACTCTAAGTATATAGTACAGTTACATTCATCACTGGGATCTTGTTCTTACACTGTTCTTACAAGAACACTTAATGTACTAGTTAACAAATTTCATAGATATATCTCCAGGGGTAAAAATACTTATCCTTCTTGATTTTCCTTGAAGCTACTCACAAGACTTGGAAGTCAAATTTTGATCTTGCTGCAGACAATGCTAGTTTTTATTAACCTAGTCAAGATGACACTGCCCTGTTGCATTTTTTTTCCTGCCATTTACCATTTGCATCAATGTCAGTCATCCTATCATACAAAGACTAACATTGACATGTTAATCTAAAACACCATAAAGTTTGATATTATGTTCAAATAAAAAGTAGTTGGTAAAAGTCTGTCAACAGATATTTTAAGTAAATGTTATTCAGGACTATGAAAATTTACAGAATACTTTCAAATATAGTCATTATCTTAAAAAATTTATAACCTGAACATTTATTTTCTTAGATGTGACCTAAATCCAAAGTGATTCCATAAGCCATCTATTAAATGGATCTCTTCAGCATTTAAAAGCAAAAAATAGACACATTAGGTGTATTTAAAGATTAATATTTTTATATTATACTATTTTCCTTTATTCGCTTTTAAGCTTCTATTAAAATTGATTAAAGTCACAGAAACATTCATTATACTTAAGCACAAATGAAACTCCGCATTACAGTCTGACAGTTCATCCATAATTCAGGATCCCAGCCTAAAACATTATGCTCAAACAAGGACAAATATTGGCAAAGGTGAAGTATTGAACTGCTACAGTCTCAGCTAAATTATGTAGCAATCTGTGTGTGCTTGAATTTCCCAGCACTGGGAATAAAAATTAAAAGCAGAAAAAATAGTCAACAATTATATGTGCAGACTTAATAAGCAAGGTAGTAATGCCAAATTGCCATTATTTAAAGCTGAGTGCTCTTCATTAGTTATTAATGGTTCTAAAATGATAATAAAACCCAAGAAGGGGGGAAAACAAACCTATCAGTTACTCACTATCTAACCAGGCAAAAGAAAGAGGACCATGAAGAATGTTCTTATGGATTTGAACTTTGAAAATAGAAAATGTGGTTCTATTTAAACCAACAGAAGTTTATGTTTCGTCCAGTAAGTGTCCTCATTTGTCTTAATTAGCTAGGCAATAATGCCAGCCCACCACTTCTTAGAATTGTGGTCACCTGTCTAGAGATTACAGCAGGTAAGCAAGGCTTCTAACGGCCTTTGGTAGCTGACAGGTCTCTGCTGTCTGGAAGGGCTGGCCCTTGTTTAGGCAGAGAACATCAGCAAGCAGAAACAACTCACTGTGGGAGAGCAGGAGGGCAGCACAGCAGCCCCCAGCCAGCATAGTCAGTGGAATGAACCAGCAAATCAACCTTTAACAGGTACACCCACCGGATCACCTGCACTTCCTGCCATCTCCCTTTGCTTCCACTGATTCAGGCTGGATGTGTCCTATTTTGAAGCAGTGCCAATGTGTGTGTGTGTGTGTGTGTGTATACACACACAAAGTAATTGATGCCCAAGAATTTTTTATTTTTTTTGCATTATAAGGCTTGCTGTTCTTTTTCAAGTATTGTGACTTCTTATAATTTTTCTTCTGCAGAATATATTAAGAATAATCACTTTGCTTTGTAATAAAATGGCTGGTCTTATACAACAGTGAATATATGAGATCATTAACATTCTTCCAAAAATCTGAATTAGAAAATATTGGCTGGGCGTGGTGGTACATAGCTGCAATCCCAGAAGGCTGAGACAGGAAGATGGAGAGCTGATGGCCAGCCTGAGCGACGTAACACCCTGTCTCAAAACAATAAATAAATAAATGCCTGAGGATGTAGCTTAGTGAGAAGTCCCTGAGTTCAAGTTCCAGTACCACAACAAGGAAAGAAAAGAAAACGAGAAAAGAAAAAGGTTGCAAAAAAGATTTGCAACAAATTGTCAAGCTGTGCTTTCTCGTCCAAGGTTTTCTGTGACTATTTCATTGCTCGCCTTATCCCAGGATTTACAGTTTGTTATATTATCTCACTGAGCTTCGAAACAAAATGCTAGGAGTGTCAAGACCAGAGGGTGACTGTGTCAATGGGACGTTTAAATGCATGCATGTTGAGGAGAATGTTTACTGTTAAGGGCCTGGTGTGGGAAGGGGCTGAGGTTCAAGCTCTTTCTTTTACTTCACACAATTCTCAAGGAAACTCACTTAAAAATATTACAGAACATTTAAAAACACTTAAAATAAAACCCAATACTCTTCTGTCTTCTCTCACCAGTAACTTTTGCCTTAATGAAAGGACTTCCATTCCAACAAAGAAGAGAAAGAAATATAGAGTGAGTAGAGCACAGCAGTCTCATTCTGATTCAGTCCCTTCAAATGTTCTCTTTGCCAATTTCCTTTATTTCATTATCCAGAGAAGTCTCACATTTAACAAACTCATGGGAAAATCTGATCTATGATCTGAGTTATCTTCCCTCACTTTGGCAAGGAACCTGTAGATCTACCCCTGAGGGATGAAATGATTTGGCAATTTGCCCTCAGGCAAAAGGTGACAAAAAGAGAGGAACAAAGTTCAAATTCAGTGCCCCATCTACCCAAATCACGATGTACAACTTCAGTCTAAGATCCCTGGCGCAGAACAGACCCAATTGAGAATTAGAGGAAAGGTCTATACCCATACCTTCAACAAAAATTAGTTGTTTTATGTAACAAATATTTTACATAACAATAAATGGAAAACAAGTCCCAAATGAGGTGTCACAAGTCAACCTGGGAGACATGTTCAGAAGTAAGGGTTCATTTGGGTCAGAATCTTTTAGTCAACCTGGGGGGGGGTCCCTCATCCGACACAGAGGAACCGATCCAGTCTCAGCCACCTTCAGATTTTCTGTATCTAAGAGCTGTTCTGGGCCATGCATATCCAGATTGAAGTGTTTTGTCTATATTCTCAAAGTCAAGAATTCTTAAATGGAATTCACTGCTTTGCAGTTGAGATAAATTGTAAGCAAAAAAAAAAAAAAAAAGTAGGTTCCTAACAGATTTATATAATAGCTATAGTCCAAAACCACAATGATAACGTGTTGGAGATGGTATAAAACTTAAAGACAAGCTATAAGATTATTTTTAAGCTTTCTTGACTGACATGAGAACAAAGCCCTTCTAAGTTTGGAAATTTTTGCATCCTAAAGGTGTATTTTTAAAGCATGGGAGAGGGGCCATTGGAATTTTGACAAAGAAGCAACACTGTAATATAGCTACAGGTGACAATTATTTTTATGGTTCAGGATTGCACATGTTTAAAGAAAATTGGCAATAGGGAGCTTATTTATGATCTGCTATAACATTTCACTGTTAATTCTCTTCTAGAAGATGGTTCTTTTTTTTTTTAAGAGAAAGAGCATCAGCAAGAGATGCAGTACTAGGCTTTTTGTCTCCAACCATTAACACCATCACAGTGTTATTGTCATCATTGTCACTGATATTCTTCATGGATAGCATCAGTACATTTGGCAATGGCTCTGACTTCCTAACTGGACCTTGAAAGACCCTTAAGATCACATTAATGCAAACATAAACAGCATAAGAAAGGAGCTATATCTTTGTCTGTCCTCTCTACACAAAGAGGACAGCACCTTAAGACAACACATACATGCTCATTTAAAAACACTAGAATAAAAGACATCGATTCCATCCTTTGTTATAATTCCACAAAGTTGAAAAAAAATCTAAGAAATTTTGATGGAATTTGAGTGAAGCTAGTATTCAAATTTAAAAGTATGCTTTTTAAAAATCCCACTGAAATTTCTGCTCTTACCTTGCAGCCTCTGCATCACATTGGCAATGTCCCGAGGAGACCGTGAGGCTGCCCGGGAGGCTGCCATGGTCCCTCATGTAGCACGAACCCAATGCTAAGAAATTCTCCCCCGGTTAGGTGAAGGTCTGTGCCACTCCAGAAAACATGCGGGAACTTTTCTAGATTTGCCACATTACAAATGAATCCTGCCACTCGCAGCCGTCAGAGGGGAAACTGCATTCTCACAGATGGAACAGCTTCTTTGAAGACTACTTTCTTAAGTAAGCTCAAGGACCTGAAAAACAAAAACAGAAAAAGTAAAATATTACAAAAAATCTACATGGGTCAAATCATACCAGAAGAATTCTATTAAATTAGAAAGCCTGATTCATTATCAAGTGAAATGACCTGTGAAAAACACCCATAAACTAGAAAGTACTATCAGGTATTAGACACTAGGTATTTGATTGACCATAAAACAAAATCAGCTGTGAAAAAGAGAAATGCTCATGTTTATTTTGTTTTCTTTTCAAACTATAAACTTTATTAATCTATGACTTAAAACACTGAGTTCTATTTCTCAGTATTCACAGATTCTGTTATCTGTGCTATTTTAGTTTTATGCACACATATTTTGTTCGATTTCATGGCATGCTTTTTGGTAATGAGATCATATCCTAGCTCCTAATAACAATTTAATTAATTAAGATGGTATAAAAGTAAACACTATTTCATTCTGGAAATCTGACTTTCAGATAGTCTAACTATAGAAGACAAAATGAGTCTAATTTGGCTCCCCGCCACCCCACACCAAACAGAAAGATTCTGAAGTAATCTGTAAGGTGGTGAGGGAGTGGACTAACCAGAGAGCACATTGTCCTTGTAACATTTTCCTGAATCTCTGCTTTGGTCAAGTGGAGTTACTCTGGACCAAGATGGTAAAAGAGAGGTAGGTGAGATGTTGGTGAAATCTTGACATCGAGAAATGTAATTTGAACAAAGTTTTCTTATCCCTAAACTCAGCCGAATAGAAGGTCTTGCCATCGACAAAATAATGAGAGATGAGAGGGGCGGACAATTCACTGAGAGAAAGAAGCTTAACCATGAGGCCACACTGAGGAGGCCCGTGGGAGAGTGACACTTTATTACAAGCTTCATTGAATCTCTATAGTATGATGATGACGAAGAAAGGAGAGAATGAAAAAAGAAGAGTGGCAAAAGCAAATCTAAAGCAAGCATACGAGACATGTGTGGGACAATCTACTTGCTTGCAGGAAAAGAAAATAGGAGGAGTTTATGAATATTATAAACATTATATCATTATCTAAATATATGGTCCTTAAGGCTGTACTATGTATGAGGAATTGGAGAAGTAATAGAGTGTTATTAAAAACTGTAATTGATTTTAAATGGCATAACTCATACTTTAGTCTCTAGTCAGAAAGCACGAATACAAAGCAGAAAACATCCTTTCTAAACGACTATCTAAAAAAAATAGATCCAAAACACTGCATACTGCTGCTGACTCATGTGCAACATCAAAAGAAGGTTCTGGAGCAAGAAAGCCTCACAAGCTATTCCATTTTCTAGTCAGGGTGCAGGGTTGTGCTGAATAGTATCAGGTGGAGGAATGTGGGGGAAACCTTCTCCTGACTACTTGGAGGGATACTCACTAGAAATGGGGCACAGTATGTGCATATTCTAGGATGTAGAGTCACCTCTCTGTGGGTGGCTCCGCAAGAATTTCTCAGGGGAAATAATTCCCGATGGCTGGGCTGCTGTACTTTATGGTCTCTAGCTCTGACAAAATTGTGTGGCCAATAGCAGACTGTATCACCTGGGGAAAAACATTCCACTTGCCCACATACAAGGCTGCCTTAACTTGGAAGATTCAGAGTGAGAAATGCCTGAGCGACTTTACAACTGGCTCCTCTAGGCTGTTAGAAAGTTATACGGTGCAAAGTAAAGACCGAAACTTTCTGGAATCTGTTTATGTCTGTCTGTCTACCCGTATATCTTTTCCATTATATCATTTATTTTCATCCATACTAAGGAGAAGTGAGGACAGAAATTCACTTCAATCTCATAACTGGCTCTATACAGTACTGGAGTTCAGAGATGATTAGGACATGCCCCTGCCTTCAATCAAGAATTATGGAACTATAAGAGGCTCCTGTAAGTTCCTGCATAACAGATCACTCTAGCTTTTTAAAGATCACATTCATGTCACATAAGATATTGGCCCTCTTCTCTTCTCTCCTCTTTTCTTCCCCTCTCTTTCCTTTTGCTCTCCTCCCCTTCCCTCCCCCTCCCCTTACTTCACCCTTCTCCTTTCCTCCGATCCCCACTCTTCTCCTCTTTTCTTCCTCATTAAACTCAGAATTGGCCGGCTCCTGTCAGGTCTTATTGCCACAGCACAACCAACACCTTCTGCATGCCTGAGCTCAGTGCGGTACTACTAAAGTGAATAGGGCACAGAAGGTGCTTTTGATGAGCTAAGAACACGGTGAGAAACACACCATAGCAAAGCTTCGTCAGAATGCCAGGAATGAGCACCACTACACGGTAAAGCAATACAAAGGAAGGTTCAGTGGATCTGGAAAACTGTGCCGGGAAAAGGAGCTAACACCTGAACTGAGCCTTGGTGAGTTGTCATTAGTCAAGTAAAATGGGGAAGATGCTTCACCGGCAGAGGGATGGCACTGAGCAAAGGCAGGGATGAGAAACAGCATGACTTGCATATGAAACCATCAACAGTCAGGTACTGAGGGTCTCTGCCCAGTGTTGTTTTGGAGGAGGAAGTAGGGGGATGGCAGGAGGCCTGGACCTTGTGCTCAGAGGGGTGTTTCTGTTTCTCCAGAAGGTAACAAGAAATTTGAGGGTATTAGACTCAAAATGAGAAGATATAATCTGAATTAACAGAAGCAATTTTAGAGGTATAATTTGGATTTTATGTGAGGCAATCAGGCTGGGAAGATCCAGGAAAATGGGTGAGGAAGGGGTCTTAGGAATCCTCGCTGGAAAGGCTGAAAGACTGAAATTGGACGGAGGAAACAGAGCAGAAGGTAAAGGTGAAGAAACTTTTTAAAGATTTGATAGTGAATTGAGTGGGGTGGAGGGGGCAGTGAGCATGTAGGTGGAAGGAGCTGGAGTTTCCAGCGTAGACAAGAGAGCCAGAAGCATCTCAGATTATGCCTAGGATTTGTGGGGCCATCACTGCAGCCCAGCAGAAGAAAGACTGCATGAGATTTGCTTTCAAATACTGTAGTTTTCCTCATGGTCTTAAAACAACTCTGTGGAGCCACTGCTTCATTATCCCTTCACGTCACCCTCTGTGGAACACATCCAACTGAACAAGTCCATGGCATCATCATATTCCTGACCCAGGACCCTCATCCCACCTGAGGCTTTCCCTAGACAAACCAGCACACAGTCAGCACAATCTTGATTCTGCTAGCACTAACAATGCACACTAGGATGCGTTTACTTTGGCTTATATTCTTCACCATGATTATTACCATCTCACTCCAATCAGACTGAACATTTATGCGCTGGTATAGGGACTATAATTTTTATTGCTTTAATAAATTGATAACAAGTACATTTCTGAGCACAGGCTACACCATCAATAAGTTTTATGTTAACTAAATACTGCACATCTATGAGAAAAGCCCTCCCTACCATAAAAAACTGATGCAATATCCTTCCTTTTTCAGGTGTAAGATAAACCATTTTGCTTCATCATTCATGTACACAGATACATCCTATATGGTGAAATTATGATTTTCTTCAGTTGTTTTTTTTTTTGCTGGTACTTTAATTTAGTATCATATGATTTGATAAGGGATTTCAAATTAATGAAAAGTACAATAAAAGAAGACTAGGAATTAAATGATAAGAGTTCTAAGCTTAAGTCTGCCCAACTAGATGAGTAGTTTTGATCTGGTTCTGTGTATCGAGGTTCTCAGTAACTGCTCATCAGAGGGGGTATGGCACCAAAAAATGCAGACTTTGAAAGAGGAAAGATCGGGCACTGACTCTTAATTTTGTCTCTTACTATTCATATGATCTGAAGAAAAGTAAACTTTCCCAAGGTCTTGTTTCTTCATCAGTAAAATGATGATTATGCAAAATTAGATTTAATTTTATTCCTATTAAAATAAACTTTAAGAAGGTCAATACATGACCGGGGGCCTACTTCAGTGATAGAACACTTGCCTAATATGCACAAAACCCTGGGTTCAATCCACAGCATCAAATAATAAATAAACAAACAGACAAAAAATGAATGAAAAGATAATATGAAACATGTGACATGCAGTTCAGTTTCAGCAAATCACTGGCCTTTACTTTTCTTCTCATGTCCTTGGTTTCTCCATCTGCCATAAAAGACCCTGAAATGGAAAGATGTTCTGAGAGAGCACTCTAGTTCCAAAACTAAGGCAGCAGGAGGAAGAACTAAAACAACTGGTCCACATCATGACATTCTTGTAGCAGTGCTATGGTGGTAGCTATGACTTACAGAAGCAGAACACCAGAGGGAGATTCAGCACCATCAATGAGCTCACTGTTTCCAGGGTAGTCAAAAGAGTTTTCAACAGGTACAGGACATTATGGGATGAAGGATAAAGGAATGATGGATGAAGCCAGGTACTGAATTGGGTGGACATCAGTAGACTGCATAGCAACTGATAGCCCCTACACCATCTCCAAGTCTTTCCAGAAAAAGGAACTAAGACACAATGCTGCTAAATACCTCTACAGTACTTAGCAGAAGAGTAAGATGCCTGCATTTATTATTGCACAGAAAATATGGACTTGGAAAATACTATAAGGGAAAATGTACATGCTGAGAAAATAACAATGAACAAGACAGAGTTTGTGTAACCAAGGGGAAGATGATAGAAACAGTACTATATCAGAGTAGGGTGACTTTGTAACAAAGAGGTCTAGACCTCTAGAGAAACAAACAGAATAATATCTGCTGCATATGCTGTGCAGGATACAGAGCGAAGTTTGACTCTGGGCTATTAGGGGTCCTCATAGCTGAATGATGTTCTCTTCTTAACACCAACACCTATGAAAAGCAGTCATGACATGTCACAACTGAATTTTTCCTGTTTCTACTCAAAATAGACAATAGGCTACTACAGCAATTTTTTCTTTGTGTGACTGAGAGGAATCAACAAAAGAAAGTACTAGAAGAAACCCCTGGGCCACTAGAACACACCTTACAGCAATGCAACTAAATTTTTAGGCATTGGCAAACTATAGAAGAAAATCCTGAGCCCTGCAAGAATGAGGGCTGAGGAAGAGAAGCCATTTACAGAGTAAAGAGACAACCTGCCATGTGGGAAAAAATTTTTACCAGCTAGTACCCAAATCTACTATCTAGATTATATAAAGAGCTTTAAAAAAATCAGACCAACCAAATTTAAAGACCCAATCCAAAAATGGGCATCTGAAGTGAACAGACATTTCTCAGACAAAGAAGTAGAAATGATAAATAAACACATAAAACATGTTCAACATCACTGGTTACTGCAGAGATGCAAATGAAAAAAATGCTGAGATTCCACCTCACTCCAAAAAGAATGGCTGCTATCATGAAATCAACCAATAACAAATGCTGGCGGGGTTGTGGGGAGAAAGGAACCCCGCTCTATTGCTGGTGGGAGTGCAGGCTGGTGCAACCACTGTGGAAATCAATATGGAGATACCTTAAACAACTAGGATTAGAGGTCCCATTTGACCCAGCTATGACCCTGCTGTGTATCTTGCCAAAAGACTTAAAAGAATCATATCACAGCAATATATGCACACCCATATTTATAGAGGCACAGTTTGTAATAGCTAAAACTTGGAAGCAGCCCAATTGCCCATCAACTGGAGACTGGATAAAGATGTGTTTTTTGTTGTTTTTGTTTTTTTTTTTTTAATAAAATGGAGTACTACTCAGTCATATAGAATGGGAAACTACAGACATTTATAGCTAAGTGGATGTACATTGAGACCATAATTTTAAGTGAAATAAATAGGACACATATGTATAAATGCCAAACAGTTTCTCTGGTGTGACAAACTGAAAGTGTAAATAAGGATGAAAATATATAATAGATGATGTGCAATAGGAAGAAAAGGGGGGAAGGGGAAGGGGAAGTGGGAGAGGTGGGGAAAAGAAATAAATATGGGAAAAGTAAAAAATGGAAACAAAACCTTTGTAAATAGGGAGAAGTAGAAGGGTAGAAGGGAGGGCAGAGGAATGGGGAAAAAATAAAAACCAAGACATATAAAGTAAAGGTACAAATTTCCAAGGATGAATGTAACTGTATTGTATTCCTAAAATGTACCAATAAACTTAATTTTAAAAAAACCATGGTTGATGTAGCTTATTTCAATTTGAAGCAACAGCAAAAAAAAGACCTTAAATACATACATATTCACAACAGTATGAAGTATGGATATTACTTAATTAAAGGTCTAAATCTATACAACAAAGCATTAAATTGAAATATTCTATTAAATAAAAATTAAAAATCCATTTCCATACACCTATTCAAGTCTTTTGCTGGAGTGATTTTACATGTGTCTCATTTAATTATTTTCTCTATTCATCGTTTAGTACTGGTATTAATAAATAAACATAAAAATGGCTAAAAATGTAGAAAAGAATAGAGACATCCTGGGGTCGATACAAATATATTACTAACATATGTGTACAGGTAATCAGTAAATACTGCTGTTAAATATTATGAGTTATGATTATGAATTTAATACAATAAATATCAAGTCTTAAATGAATTATGCAGGATAATAATAAGAAAATATTTCCCCTAGAAACACAAGAATATGAACAAGTAATCGCAACAGGAATTATAGAGCAGAGAAGCATGTAAATCATTTAGTGTTATGATTCAAAATATTTTGGGAGCCTGGAGTATAAAGTACACTGAAAGGTATCTGTCACCTCTTTTCCACACTGTGGTTGAATATATATTTCACTCCTTGCCCTTCATTAATTCTTATTCAATTAGCTCACAAGGAAGGACGCATTTGAGAGAAGAATCACAAATGCCCCACAGAGGAGTCTTAGGCCCCATGCACCAGTCACATTGAGCCCACGGGGTGTGGCTGCAGTAGTGAGAGCTGAGAAAATGACCCCTCTCTCGCCAAGCTATGGGCTTCTTACTTCCTGTTATAGCTGCAACTCCTGCCAGTTGCAAGGTGCTGTGCATCCTGCACAAATAACAGAAAGCAGGTCCCAGGGGACCACCAAGAGGTCCTAGAAAATGTTCAAGTGGTGAATCCCTGCTCCCAGGCAGGAAGCAATCCAATGAATAGTTCTCGTATGGGGAAAGTGAAAACAGAAGCAAAGCAGTTTGCAAAAAAGCGTTAGTTGAGGAAGATAAACGTAAAGCTATAATGTAAGAGTTGAGCAAATATTTCTCAATACTATTCAGCAATATTATAATCAGAGTCAGTCTGAGAACACGTTTTTATTTTTTATCTTCAACATGAAAAATTAAGTTAGTAGTAATCTGGTACATTTTGTTCTAAATCTACCACAAAGTAATAAACAGACTAAAACAGAAAAATAGATATGGATTTCAGTAAATTGTTCTGATGATGTTAGGACTTTTTATCCGCACTATTAATCTTTTTCAACATGAAGAATAAAAAACCTCCTACAAAGAACAACCCTCATGACTCACAGTTAAATCAGCAGTTTATGCGAAGGGAGGTCAAATCAGTAACCTTTGGATGATAGAAAAATCATTATCCCTTGTGTTGCACAGATCTAGCTTCTGTATACAAATTATGTCTAGGAGAGCAGTTCTTAAATCAAGGCAAAAGTAAATCAGCATCAAGGAAGAGAAAAATAACTCATTCTGGGCTTTCTTAACGTTAACAGAAAAAAATTCAAATCCGTAGAAGTTTTCTCTCCCAAACTGAAAAGCTCAGAAAGGAACATTTCAGGGATCTAAGGCTTCTCCCTCCAGGGGCTGCACCTGACTGTTTGCGGAGGAGGCCTGAACTTCCCAGCATCAAACACTGCTACCCAATCAGCACCCTGGCGTCCCTGCCCGCGGTGCTCTCCATCCTGGGCAGGGATGCTGCTGCGTTGTTCACTACATTCCTGCTCTGTGCCGTGCACCTGCCGCCCTCTGCACCACCATTTCCTACATCTACCCCCTCAGCCGGGCAGAATCGGCCTGAAACCTGTCTTTCCGGAGTGGAGTCGAAAGTTACCCTGCCCTCCAGTGCAGCCGCACCATGACGGCGCCGGCGGAGTCGCCAGGGCCTCCACGCAGCCATCAAGCCCTCGGCTCTGCTCCCTACTTTCCCTCCCCCAGCCCTTCCTAAAATAGACCGAGGGTGGAGGAAGAGAGGCTCCTAGAACCAGCTCAACCCCCTGCGTTTCCCATCTGATAGTAGCGACCGCACCGACCATCACAGCAAGGTGGCTGCTTTCGCTTCTGCCATCACCGGAGCCAAGGATGTGCCACGAAGGGGAATGACAGCTCAGAGGGGTGTTCACAGGGATCTCTACACCGAGCTGAAAAGCAGCTCTACAACCCCCTTCCCTCCTCGTCCACGAGTGTTACACACGTACACACCACGCCACCCTCTCCCTCCCACCCAGCACGCAGAGCTCATCGTGGAAGCTCAAACTTGCTTGCAATGTGTCTGCAATTTCTTCGACCTGCACCTGCCTCTCCCGTTTCTCTCCAGTTCTCTCTCGGGATGTGCTTTTACCTTCTCTGTCGGCCTCTTCTTTCCGTTCTCCGCCGCGAG